CTCTATCTCTATCTCTATCTCTATCCGTCCATCTATCTGTCAATCTATTTATCTCTCTATCTGTTTGTCTATCTATCTATCCTATCTATCTGTTTAACTATCTATCTATCTATCTATCTATCTATCTGTCTATCTACTTATCCATCTGTCTATCCATGTATCTATCTATCTATCTATCTATCTATCTATCTATCTATACATATATACATATACACATATGTACGCATCTACGTATGTATGCATATATATATATATGTATGTATTATACTTGTAGGTAGGCATTGGTACATGAACCGTGTACATGTCTCTCTCTCTATATGTATATGCATCTATATATATATATGTATATATGTGGGTATTTATCTAGATGCAGATGCAGATGCCAATACACATAAGCAAACGTAGTCATGTGTATTTTCTACGTGATATGTGAATGCGATGTCTAAACACTTGAAAGCACAGGATCCGAGCATGTCCTTCCGAGATATTGATACACACACACATATATATATATATAAAGACACATACATATGTGTATATATATATATATGTGTATACACACACACATATACATACACATATATACATACATATGTATATTTATTTATTTGATTATTTGTTGTATCCATATGTCAGCATCATCGGAAGCGGCTCTTGATTCTCTCGAGCTTGATGTGGTCGAGTATGAGCGTTGCAACTCTGAGCTCAGGGTTCAGTCTAGCGTCTGCCCTACCTATCTCGTCACTAAGGCACTAATGGAGCAAAGCTCGGTGGCCACCTTCGGCAGCCCCAGCGCAGTGCGCGCTTGGGCACAGGAGCGCGTCGGGCTTGGGAAGGTACGAGTTCTGCTCGAGGCTGTGGAGCCCTCGACTGACAGGCTTTTTCAGGCTATCGCAGGATGTGGTAACATAGCACGAGAGTGAGGTTTAACATATTCAACAAGGACGCATTGCGAGGAAGATCTGCTGAGAAGAGGGTCTCTGCTCACGTCAGGGACCCTCAAAGCAAACACTTGTCGCAGAAAGTATCTGGCTCCTTTAGGCCTCTTCTGCTTTGTTTGTCTAATCGATTCGGGCGAGTGAAGGCCACCGAGACGCGGCCAATTGCGGCATGCATAGGCCACGGGGCCACGGGCGGTGAATGTCAATGCGAGACTTTCACAATACGGCTGGCTCTAAACTAAGGCAAGGTACTCAGCACGGTAAGACAAGAAGCATCATGTAGCGTAGGGAGGTGTTGTGGAGATCGAAATTACTTGATGATTTTCACGTAATGCGATGCACCTTTCATGCCATGGATCTTTTCCAGTGCGATGCAACGTCAAGGACATCACTGTCGTCAGGTTTCATGTATGGAAGTGCAGGGGAGCGAGTTCGCATGACATGTAATAAAACATATTCTGTTAACAAATAGTGCGCTCATGCACGAGCGCTGTGATGGTTGTACGGAGGTACAGTATGGTCAAGGTGTGAGGGATTTCCGACTAGACTGGAGCCGGAGCCGCTTGCGACTGCTCAGAAGTTCTCCAAAGTTCATCAAAACTTGTTCCAAACCGGAGAAAGCAGACAGTCTCACAGTGGCACTAACCCAACTTGTAAAGAGCAAACCGCAAACACGGTCTGTTCGGACGCCTGAACGTTGTTTCTTTTGCATATTTCACTTGTGCGCTCCCTGTTGCATCACAGTTGCGTCATATTTTGTAACCTCTTTCTGCGTCATATGTACTGTCTGGATTCCTTCCTATCGAGTTGCGGCTGCATAATCCATGCCTCTGCTCTATTTCAACTAGTTTTCGCCGTGGTTTCCAATCTACCACAAGGACCTCGCAAGTAACACTCCAGATGTTCGGTGCTCCACAGCTACTGGCAGAGATCAGCATTTGATCATGCGCAGATCCAACCTCAACCGTAAAACTTCCGGCTTCGCCAACACAGAGCGCCTTTGCAGCTCTGCAAGGATTGTTAGCCAACAAGCACATAGACTGCGTGCCAGAAATTTCAGCTTCGCAAGAACAACTGCGCGTGTCTGCAGTTTTATTCGGAAGAAGATGCGCAACCGAATCGTTCATGTAGAAGCTGCTCATGTAAATTACCACATAGTGTTCATGGCTACTCGGTGGTATCGTGGGGAATCTGCCGCCTTTGCGAAGCCTGACCGTCACAGGCTCGACGTTTACTTTTTCCGGTCCTCATACACAGAAGCCAGCTTCTACAAAGAGATTTTCGACCCTGGCCAATCGTGAAGAATATTCATCGATGGAATCGTTCGATGAGGATTCCATTCTTTGTCATATTTCTTGTGGATTTGTACTTAGGTTGAACCCTGCATCATTTCAAACTGTAAGACGCTATGCTGTCAAACCGAGTTTCCGTGGGTCTGCAGGCTACCTCATCAAACTTCATCATGCTGCAGCTCTCTGTGTTGCTCTGTGTCATGCCGTTTTATGCTATGCTGCAGATGTTTCTGCCATCCTGTGACAGCCGCTATGAGCTTGAAGACTGACATTGGACGAGGTGGCACCTCGCGAGATGCTGCCGAGGCTCCATCCAGCTCTTGCAGTCAGCAGCTCTTCTTGGCATGATACGAACAGAATGGCATTGCAGGAAGCTGTAGGGACGGGAACAATCGGACCAGAAACATATCTTAACATGTTGCGAAGCTGCTTCAGTACAGTGATGCAAAGCAGTCATGTTATCACGGGGATATACAGACCCAGCAGACACCAATCTGGCATAGTGACACGCAATCGCTTGTGCGAGAGCAGCCTGGGGGACGGTCGCCAGCGCAGTGCAGAGCTTGCCAGGTGCATAACAAGGTGGCCACTGGAGGGGGGGAAGGGGGTGAGGCAAGACGGGTACACGGTTCTACGGAGCCAGATCAAGACGCCCCAGGCCTCCGGCCTCAGCGGATTACGTAGCAGCAGTCGAAAACATAGCAAGCTGACACCGCACCAAGCTCTGGATCGCAGCCATTTGCGGGTCGGTTTTTGGGAGCTTGACTTGCTGAGCTAGTCCTGAAGTGGGGTTCAGGAAGCTGGCTTTGATCAGATCCTTTGCCCCGAGAAGTGCGGAGCTCAGAGCCACGCGGCCACGCGGCCAGGCATGAGCCTTCTCTGCCTGAACCAAGGCCCGGCATCCCAGGATGGGCCGAGGCACGCTCAGCCTTCTGAAACAGTACCGAAAGAACACGAATTCCGGTAATGCTCTTTCCGTGCGAAGCCAGTCTTTGTCCAGCGAACTGCATCCAGAACTCTTCAGGTGACGGTGCAAGCGATTCGCCAGGTGCTGGAGGCAAGATAGCAGTTCTCAGGCCTTTATATAGGCATCTGCCCAATGTGGCCGTGGAAAGTGTTCGCTTCCACTCCCCTTCGCGAGGGACTGCCTCCGCGAGATCGGTTCCTGCAGAAAAAACATGCCTGCAGAGGTACGGTTTCCCTGCGGTTGGTCGTTGCAAAGCATCGCGTTCATTTTTCACGTCTGTAATTAGTACTGACGCATCTGCAGGATGTGAAGATGACATGCCAGCTGACATGCATAGACATATTCATACCATGATGTAGCTGCGCAATGTAGCTGATATTCCCGTTCGTTCCGCGCTCTCTCTGTGCTCTCAGCAAATGGTATGGGGCGACAAGTTTTTCTTGACCCCTGCAAGGGAGACACACGAAGTTTCAAGAACCCTGAGATCGCTCATCCCCTGAGTGATCCCAGCAGACCAACACATGTTGCAGGCACAGGTAAGAATCGAACTTGTATATAGACTCTAGAGTTGGAGCCCATGTTTGTTTTTCATTTCAAGCAAGATCATGATTTTGTAGTGGGCCTGTCGGCGACTGCCAGTGAAAAGTCACTGCAAGAAAGGGCACAAGCTAGGCGCAGCGCGCTGCAGGCACCAAGAGCACACCAGGCTGAGCGGAAGTCCAGGCCAGAACCCCGAGACTTCATCCAACTCAATCTTTAGGCCTCTTCAGGGCACGAATCGAGAACACTTTTGGCGTCATGGTGCTGCTGGAGGCGCTGGCCGAAAGGCCACCGTGGGTTTTGGGACCTGGCGGTTCTGGCCGATGCTAGGGAGGGAGCTGCTTCTGGCAAGACAGCAAAGCTCTTAGGCAGGTCCTGGACACATCGGCGCCCAACTGCGACGGTAGGCACATCAGCTTGCACTATCCTCCAGCATGGCTCCAGGCTGAAGGACATTTGGGCAGAAATCCAACGTGACGCTCCGATCGATGTTCGAGCACAGGTGCCTTTCTCAAGAATCGGAGAGTTGTGAGGCCGTAGCGTAGGCATTGAGGGGCTAGTGCCTAGAACGTTTGGCCTCAATTTCTCTGGGCATGGAGCCCGCACCATTTGATGTGTTTACACTTTACACTTTGGCACGGCAGGGAAGTTCGCAAAGGATCGACACACATGCACCCGCAGGCGGCGCTTATCCTCATCATCGGCATAGGCGATGGGAGCACATGGGGAGATTCGCAAAGAAGTGCTAAGAAGTGCAGTTTCACTCCATGTCCATGACCTGTAAACACACAAACCGGCAGGATGCAAGAGGTGCCCATATCCTGTTTGTTTACTCATCAGTTAGGAAATGCTTCGTGGCTCCTGTGCATCATCCGATTCTTCTGGGCAGTTCTCACTGTGGTGGTGCCCTGGTTGGACGAGCTCTCGAAGAAAGGCTCAGGCCGGTAAGGGGGCCTCGGTGCCTGTTGCAGCTTTTCGACTGCCTTGTTAGGGTGCGAGGTCGAGGTGCAACGGCCATCAGCGCAGATTGAACGAATCTCAAGCTAACATGTGGTTCCCTGGAGCGCCTCATGCAGGCTCGGCAGACAAGAGCGCCGACCCGCAGGCCATGGACAAAGCATCCGTGGGACCGCGACGGCTATTGGTATGTATGAATAAACACGTGACACCGACACTGCCACGACCACCACGACCACCACGACCACCACGACCACCACGACCACCACGACCACCACGACCACCACGACCACCACGACCTCCACGACCACCACGACCACCATGACCACCACGACCACGAAGACCACCACCACCGCCACCACCGCCACCCCCGCTGACACTATCACCGCTGCCGCCGGCACGACGACCCCAACATAGACGACGACGACCTCAGCACTCGGAAGTTGCGAGTTTCAGGGTTTTCGAGGTTAGTTTCGGTGTTGAGAATCGGGGCGGAGTTTCGGGGCAGAGGCCAGGTCAGTTTCGGATCCAGAGGAGTCCAGTTTCGGATCAGGGAGCGGCCAGTTTGTAGTACATGTAGCAACTACTAGTAGTACAAGCAGCAGTAGTACTCGTGGCAACTACTACTCGTACTGGTCGTACTGGTACAAGTAGCACTGTAGTACCAAAAGTACTCGCAGAACTAGTTGGCAGTGCTCTTAGTATGAATTACTCTAGTGGTATTGTAGTAATTAGTCACCTGGCAACATCCCGAAGCCCACCCTCCCCCCGCGCCCCGGAGCTGACCCCACGGCCCGAAACTGACCACGTCGCGCCCCGACACTGACCCTCCCCCCGCCCCGAAACTGGGCCCCGAAACTCACCCCCGTGATCCGAAACTCATCGGCAGCCGATCCGAAACTAGAACCCCGAAACTATGGGCACCCCTCAGTACTCTACAAACTGCTAATACTATCTACAACTGCACGCGCTACTGCAAGTGCTGCTGGGGCAGGTAGGAAGCAGAGGACCAGCATTCTGGGCTGTGTCAAACCATACTTTGGATGTTTAGTTCACGGTCGGTAGCCTCTTAGGAGCGGGGTGCCTCTTGTGAAAGCCTCCTCGACGCCTGTTCTCACTCGACTTGGTTCCGTCGAGCTGTCAGCCGGGAAGCGCATCCGAGTCAAAACGTGATAACAAAAGCCCCCCCGCAGACTTTCAGGGCCCGCCCGCAGCTGCTGCGAAGCAGCCGGTAGCCGAGGTGCACCGGAAACATACACCAACATATGTGGAGATAGACATGTGTGTGTGTGTATGTATATGCATATATGTATATATATACATATATATATATATATACATAGACACGCATATGTACATATACGCGGTGTGCACGCTCATGATATATATATATATATGTATATATATATATATATTTATGTATATACATAGTACAAACATGCATTCCTACCCTCTGTATGTGTGAGCTGCAAACGGACGCGCAGAAACACCCACCCCCCCAGCACCTACCCGCCCCTACCCGTCCTCAATGCACCCACGCATGCACGCACGCCTGAATGTATGTATGTGTATGTATATATGTATACATATTGCCTCTATGTATGTATATATATATATACGCACATACGCAAAGACATACATGCATACATACATACATACACATACATACTTACTACGTACCTACCTGCCTGCCTGCCTGCCTGCCTGCCTGCCTGCCTGCCTGGCTACGAAAGTACGTACGTACGTACGTACATGTAAGTGTATGCATATCTAATGTTTATCTTTATACTACAGATACATACATACATGGACATATAGAGGTGTGCAGCGTGCATGTACGCATGTTTCACATGCACGTATCACGCAGCAGACTTGTCACACACTACTGTAGCACAGCTTCATTTGGCAGGCAAATCTAGTTCGTGAGTCCATGTGCGACAGCGACACGTGGAATGCATTGCTGCAGCTTGTGCTGCTGGTGCTGCTGCTGCTGCTGCTGCTGCTGCTGCTGTTCCTCGTGTTGTTGTTGTTGTTGCTGCCGCTGGTGGTGTGATAATCGGGATCCCCCTGGTTGATATCGACGGTGGTGATGGCCAAAACATGTCACACGGTGCTTAGCTTCAGCTAGCACTTAGCTCATCTGTTCCTATCTAGTCAGTCATTCGACCTGCTCCCCAGTTGATGCGTTATCAACCCACTGGCAAATCAACCAACCGATTCGCCAGCAGGTTAACCTCTTCAGCCACCTCCTTCGTTCGGTCATTTTTTGGCTTTTCACGTGTTCTTCCCTAGCCATGCATCTGCTGCTGTATTTCCGCATGTGTATCGCATGTGTATCTTTGCAATGCGCTCGGAACCAACTCCCAGTGCAGGAACCTTCGGTGGAGCCGCCAGCTCCCGTAGGCCGATCACTCCGCTCCCGTTGTTTGTGTCTGCCTGCGGTGGTAACTCTGCTGAGCTTTGTAATCGTGTTTGTGATCACTTCTTGTCGTGTCTTGAGCTTCCATGCTGGTAGTGAGTTCTGGCTCTGAATGGCTTCGGGGAGCTGGACGTAAAAGAAGGTAGGAAGTCTCACTTTCCGTGCGGGTTCGAGGTACAGGGTGTTCGTTTCTGTCACTCAGGCGCTCCATGCTGTTTCGGCTCTGTACAGGTGCTCTGGTTGTGACAGAAGTAGCAAGTTCACTCAGAGTTACATCGGCAACAGCCGGGTCTCGAAGAAGTGCTTCCTTTCGGTTGCTGCAAGTTACGTAGCAGATTCTCCTGGACATCCGGGAAGTCTGTAGCAGCAATGCCCCAGACAGCCCGGGTACAGACTGCCCCAGAACACCACCAGAAAGACTGTTATCGTTATACCCCCGCTTAGCCGTGAACGCCATGCCGGCCACAGCGGGAAGGATTGGCATGCCCGCAGACAACCGCAGGTGCCCAAGACCTGAGTGCCGCTCTTGTTCGAGTCAGTTTTTTTGCCTGGGAGCATGGGCGCGACAAGTTCATACACTGTTATGATTCGCTGTGTGCTGTGCCGCAGGGTGGGTCTCCAACCCGGAAACCAGTCCAGTTCCGTGAGTTTGCGCTGCTCTTGCTAGCACAGACCCCAACAACGTCCAGCCAAGGCCTGAGCGTGTCAGACTCGCTGAAGACAACGGAAGTCTGGCAAAAGGCACGAGACTACGAGGGGCGGATAAGAGCATTAGTCCGACATTCCTAGAATCTGATCCAGCAGACTTGCCTTCGACGTCTCCGCAGACTGTGGGCTACGACCCCTACGCCGGCGAGGATGAGGTGCAGAACCAGGTCAGCGAGGCGCTGTAGCGCTGCAGAGCGTAGCAAGATCTAGGCCCTTTGGTCGGGCCAACGAAAGGAGGAAACGCATTTCGCCTCGGAGCTGACAGGGTTGGGTATGCATCCAAAGACTGTGCAAAGTGACTGGGCCTCACGGCGTGCCTCTCTCCCATCGTCCCCACGCAGAAGCTGGCAGGGCGGGGAGATCAACAAAGCAGCAAAGGGACTCTTCAGGCTGGCACAGCTCACAGGCGGGAACTTCTTATCCCGCTTTCGGGCCTTTTCCAATTTTGTGTGTCGATCATGGCTGGTCGTGTAAG